AGTTTCCTTAAGTTCAGATTCTTGAATTCGTTTTTGGTAGTTTACTTCATCTATTTTCAGTTCTTGAATTCTTGAATATATATTTTATACCAAGTTTTTGTTCCTGTTGGCATATATATCGTTGATGTCTTGAGCTAATGTTGTGAACTCCTCCCAACAGATACGATGAGATGGGCTGCCTGAATCAACTAACAACCACTATTAGGGAAAAGACTATAGAATCCGACCATCCATTAGCTTATGGGCGGAATGAGAATGCCCAAAATATTGAAGGTAACCTTCCTTTGGCCCTCTTATCTCATAAATGCATCTTAAAACCTTCAACTTAAACGTCAAGATGAAGTGATGCTACTTTCCCCTCCATTTTAGATTTTCTTTGTCTTTTCTTTTCCTACTGTTACATCCCTAATCCATTAAATGTAAAACTACAGACTCGCTGATTTTTCAGAATACGCAGGCTTACAAATTTCTTGTAGCTTCTCACTTATGGTTTGGTGTAAATGACTATCATTCTTGTGAAATGCCATACAGCCTCCTTGGGATACATACTTATGGATGCGACTACGATATGCAGTAATGCAGGTAGGGAAAACATTTGAGCCATTTCTTTTAGCATTAATCATTCAAAGAGAGAAATATAAATGTGGTCTTTTCTTCCTCTATGACTTGGTGAGAGAGGAAGATGGAAGTTTGGAATGGGATTTTTAGTTTATAAGAGGTTGAACGTATATTCAGGGCAACTTGACATACGGAAAGATTGGAGAGTGGAGATTTGACAAAAGATCATATGATAACAGCTGGCCTCCTAGGAACCTTTCATTGCCACCGCCCGGTGTCCCAGAAAGTGTGGTATGTTTTGTGCACGTCATTTTGCTCTGTAACTTCAGTGAAAATATGTGTCATAGTTATTATAATTTTTTAGGAATTATAGTTTGTCTGAGAAGTCTAACCTTGTCAATCTGGCATTACAAAACATGTAGCTTTCAAAGTTTTATCCAATCTACCAATTTGTTAAGAAGTATAGGCGCAGATAATTCTTATTATGCCATTCAGAAAGTAGGCGGATTTAGCTCCTTGTGCTCTTAACGAGTGAGATTAGTATACTTTGTAAATATGTACTGGCGACTCATTTGCCAAAAGAAAGCTGCAGAAAACTTGCATACTTGTTGAGAAAGATAGAACTGGGTCATCGATTATGTTTAGGAATTTGCTTACATGTTTGGGAATATGGTTTCGCATAATCTACATAATTGTAAAATGTTTTTCTTATAATTTTCACTTCAGATTGTATGTCTTCAAACTTCTTATCAATTACTCGTTTCAGTTTGATATTAACTAAGTAAAAAAAATACAATACAGTAAGCCTATATTATACTTTTTGTGTCTCTTATGACTGGTCACATCGTATGCACATATCACAAACAAGTCATTCACTGTTAAGGGATATAATCCCACATCGAATAAATATGTAGACACAGACCAATTAATAAAGATTTTGGGTTACTCCTCTTAATAAGGTTGACCTTTTAAGATGGACCCCCAATTCTTTGACATGGTATCAGAGCCCATTATGCTCAACCGAGCGATTCCATCCCGGTAAGACTCCAAAAAAAATGAGCACGTGGATTTCAAGATTGGTCTGCTAAAA